AGTGGATGGCCATGAAAGGCATTGATGAGAGTAGCAGTATATCTTACGGAATTGAAAAAGTTAGAATTCACGCTTAACTGAATACAAGCTCAAGACAAGGGTCTGAATGGCCAACAGTTTTGGTTGATTAGGGTTCCCAGGTTCGGTCCTTGCCCCGTGGAGTGAGTGGCTGGGCCTTCGCTGATGAAGAGTCCCAAAATATGACGAAACAGTTATCCAATGCTCCTTGAGGTATTTTTCAATGTTGGCTCATGTTGAAAATCTAACAGCAGGTTGAAGATGTGGCAGTAACTCATCGAGGAAGACATTGGCTAGTGGTCGCGCTATCTCGTGAATTGGCAGAAGTTAGAATTCAAGGACCATTGGAACAGGTCCCAGTGGCTTAACGGTATACGAGCTCACCTTGTAACCGGAAGGTCCTGGGTTCGCCCCCCCCCCAGTTGGTGGGTGCGTACTGATGAAGAGTCCCAAACTAGGACGAAGCAGCTGTCCAGTACCCCCAGGTGGTTTTCCAATGGTTCTCTATCTAATGTCAGCTCATGGTGAAATCCTCCATACAAAATCAAACAAAACCAATACTTGAAAATCTAACAACTGTAATTCATTCAAAAATCTTAACAATTCATATAATCATACATTATTTATCAGAGTATATAGCCCGACTTGTCAGAATTACATCACATGAGATTATCTTTGATGATATTTACCAAAGATCTTTGACGTTTTTACAAGTCATATGTGAGTTATCGACTGAATTCTTGAGAAGAAAATCTATTGAAATTATAAGATATTTGACACAACTATTGTCTATTTGTACTTTCGCTGTGTATGAATCATTCAAAAAAAGCACTCACACGAAAAACAGTTTATTTTTGTGTGTTCAACGAAAACATTTCTTTTCAACGACTTCATTTTCAAGCCAACTGTACAGTCGTATTCATATTACAGAAAATGGTTATTAAGTGACACTAAATAATTGCTCAGTCAATATACATATATAAGTGATAAGAATAACGATAATTAAAATGTTATAAGGCGTAGAGTTGAAGTGAATGAACTACAGAATTATTAAAGATTGGTTTATATGTTAAATCATACCAAAAATATTTTAAAAATGTCAAGCGTTGTCTAAAAATTTTTAAAAATAGGAGTACGATTACGATAAGAATGAAGATGTGGAGCGAAGTGGAATGAATTCAAGTGGTAAAATAAAATTTTTTAAAAACTAGAAAGAGCATTTCTATGACCAAGGTAAAGAAAGATGTTGGACAAAACGTTTTTGAACACATAATTTAGGTTTCTGTTCATGTATAGCTAAAGCTTCGGCTAGCTATGCATAAGTGAAGAAAACGTAAACTTTTGGAGCGATTTGATTTTGCTATGTAGATAACTTTGAAAGATGAATCACATGACGCTGAATGACCAGACTCGAACAGGTGATCACCTATAGACGACTTTGCAGTTCTACGTTCGCCTTTCATTAACCAAACCGGATAGTGTTCAGCTACACGTTTTCGGAGATCATGCTGACAACGTGCAATATAATCAGCTCCACAAGAGCAGGTAGAAGAGTAAATACACACAGATGTGGACATAAGCGGTAATCTATCCTTGACGCGCATTGTCTAATCATATTTCGGCTGGTCAAAACTAGTTGTAAGTCAGCTGCAGGAAAAGAGCATTTAATACATTTAGATAAACGATTTTTAATCAATTCCGAAATGGTGTCACCTTTGAATGCAAGACTCATAAACAGTTTTTTTTCTTTGGCACTGTGATTTGCCTGGGGGCGAAATCTTCCTTGATGTTACTTTATAGTAAAAATTCGATAATAATAAACCTTGTAGGATATCCATTGTTCAGGAGATTTGATCAAAGGTTATCTAGTTCACTATCGATTGTCTCTAGAGAGCAGATTTTACGAATTCTGGAGCATAAGGAATGAATAAGATTTCTCTTTCTACTAAAGATGCCCAACTGTTGAAGTTAGTATACTGCCCTGTGAATGTTGGCTTTCAGTAAATCGACCTTAACAGCGTTCTATTCTCTCTTCTATCTAGCTTAACGTCAAGGAAGTGAAATGAGGAGTTCCACGAAACACGATACCGTATAAATGCTTCAGTATTTTTCTGTGAATAAAAAGACTGAAGTTGTCTCACCACCACCACCGGGTGGCGGGAGGGTATGTAAAAGGAGTCATCTGTTTCACTTAGCCAGGTAGGATTGTTTCAACCACTGGATAACAATATCAAAGTCAGTTGGCTATGGGGAAAACAGTGAAGATAGACCTTCCTTCATGAATCTGAAATCAGTGTAGTATCTAATCAATTTAATATTATCATCAGGAGCAAGATCCTGATTTTTCTCAAATTATTGCCACTCATAATCATATCAAGTCACTCACTCACACAACTTTTTTCCTTCATTTATATACATGTGTGGAATCGATAGATATTGGAATAAAAAACATATAGGATAATGTACACTCAGAAATAATAATAATAATATGAGTGTTATTGATCAATTACAATCAGATGGGAAATAAGACGAAAGGCCTAAAGCAAAATAAAAATAATTGTGAAATTAGTAGTGATATCATAAATAAGAGAGAATATAAGGCATCTACTGTTACACCGTACAAGGAGGTGACATCTGAGACCCTCCCTACGTAGGATTCTCAATAAAGCCGGAATTACGGTGGTGGCATTCAAACCTACAAACTCACTCAGACAGGACAAGCTCTGTAAGCTAAAAGATCCTGTGGACCCAATTAAACAAAATAATATAATTTACAAAATACCTTACAATGACTGTGAGTCAAGTCAATTACATAGGTCAACCTAGTAGGTCGGAGGTAGTTAGATTGTCGGAACATAAAAATTTAGTGGCTGAGGTCAGAATGGTTGACGCCGAAAAGATGAGTAATTTAGAAAAACGCTCAGCAACTGCACTACACGCATTAACAGAAAACCACACAATAGGGTGGGATGGAGAGGGTTAAAATTCTAAGAAGTTATATAAATAGGTGGAGAGAGAGAGAGACTGGTTACTGAATCCTGCCTGGTTCATCAAGTCTACACCCAACGCAACACATGCAACAGAAATGACTCAATGTAAATACCAGAAATATGGAATATAAGGAGGATAATAAATAACCTCAAAATTCTATTTCAATTCACGCACATCATAACATTCTAACAAGTTACTTATTTATTTTGACTATAAAAACACTCATCTTATTTCCCATCTGATTGTAATTGATCAATAACACTCATATTATTATTATTATTATTTCTGAGTGTACATTATCCTATACTGTTTATTATTCCAATGTCTAATCGATTCCACACATGTATATAAATGAAGGAAAAAAGTTGTGTGAGTGAGTGACTTGATATGATTATGAGTGGTAATAGTTTGTGCCCGAAGCGTGTGGCTGCATCGGTTAATATTACTGTATAACAAGCACACTGTGTGATTTATCAAAATAAAAGTCTTCTCCATAATGGAGTTATGCTCTATCACCACAGTGACGCAGTTTTATACTTATATCCTGATTTTTCAACATGAATGTCATGTCAGTCAGTTAGTCAGTCAGTCCGTACTTCTTTACACTTCAAGAGAATTGGCTCGTGTGTGCTATGAAGAGGCAATTTTAACAGCTTGCTACAGACTTTCATTGACTATGAAGTGAACAAATTTAAACAGAAGGAAGTGGATGTGACATCCTCTGAGTAGACGCCTGAGTGATATCACACGTCGGATAGAATTTTATATAACAGGCAACTGGGAAACGATTTACTACGTGTGTGTGTCTGAAGGTGAAGTGTATAGATCATGTAAGAAGGAAGGGATAAAACTAGTGAGCAATCGTGTGTGTGTCCCAGCTAAAGAGGACTGTAAAGAACAGAATAAAAGTGAAGATGTGTTGTTGAAGCCGTAGTATGTTTCAGTCGGAACTCCAGGGGAATAAATAACATTAGGCTAGGTGAGCTGTTTAACCGGCACTAATCACCATCAACGTGAGAGATTTAACAGAGGTTACTTCCCACCTTCACTTATCTGGCTCTCCAGGAAGCTCTCCAGGATTTCAACTACAGGCATACAGAACGAATGAAGGTTGTCAAAGCTAGCCAGCAAGTCAGAATCGAAAAGGCGAGATATGCACGCCTTCAACAACCTGAAATCAATTTGATAATCTTCTGCTCTGCACTCGGCCAGCAAACCAGCATAAACAACAAGATTTAGTTGGATTCTGTTAACACAAACGTGAAGTCAGTCCTTCTATACGCGTGTCACCATAAGGATTCGCAACAGGGTGCAAACTTTCTGGCAATAAACCAACCAAGAGTCGATCACTCAACAAATATGCAGGGTTAAACTGAGATGGTTGGGTATACTTTGAGGAGGCTTGCGAATAATACCGCACACAATATACAGGCCATCTCTCGAGTGGAATCGTAAAGGGAAGCGCTAAAAGGGGTCTTTGGTGTGAAGATGACATGGGGGGAGACGGTGTGAGTTGGAGCAGGAGAAAATGACAGATTATGGATGATCTTTTGTCTATGCAGCTGAATAGGACGGTAGAGAATAGAAGAAATTGGAGCTGTTTTGTTGAAGCCCTGTTTTTTTCACACGGAACCCAAGGGAGTAATAATGAGGCAATTTGTTTAAGAATGTGCCGTTCGGGATTGAACTCACCCCTCCTGTATGGCAGAGTGCATTCTGCCACTGAAATTTCAGTCACCTGCAACCCAATAGAAAAATATATTTTCCATGAGAGAACTTCATTCACACAATAACTTATAAGTCGTCTTAATGTATTAATTCCACATTTTATGACGTCATCTATACCCTGTATTGACAACGATAATCAATATTTCACAGCATTAATAATAATTTAATAATAATAATAATTTCTATTTCGTATAAACTGGTAAGCTTGTGGTGAGAGCAGCCTGCTAGCCAATTGGTTGACATTAATCTACGTCAATGTCTAGGTCACTAATATGGGCCGTGAGAAAATATGAACAAGGCTGTTTCAACAACCAATCACAGCAAATTTAAACGTGGGCAAATATGATTCGCAGATAGATGGCTCCACTTTCCGAGGAACTCGAAAACAACCAATCAGAAGACTGCGTTTGTCTACTTGACTAGGCTATAATAATTTATGTGAAATTTATATAAATACGTGTTGATTTTCGTAATAAAACGATCTGTTGCCTGGCCCTTGTCTTCTGTTGTTACAAGCTTACAAGAAATGCCTGAAATTTTTACAGGCATGATCAGTAATGTTATAAATTACAATCTTGAAGTATCATATAAATTAATACTTTTTCAAAAGTTTCAATTGTTCAATTATTGTACAAGCAATCAGAACAGGTTCTTATAAATGTTAAATTGTAATCCGTTTACTAAATGAGGTCACCATCAAAGTTAAGCGACAACCCAAACTTCGTTCCGTTTCCCGCTGATAGTTATGGTCAACCAACCAGTGAACAGCGTATATCTGGGTGAGTGGTATGTCGCCACATGATTGAACGCTATTTCAGGAAGAGAAAAAATTCTGCGCAGCTGTAAAATGGTATAAAATGCAATTATGAATAATTGCAACATTATTGGAAGTATATTTACAAGATGAATGATAGAAGAAGAAGCTATATAGTACTTGAAATGATGGTATACATTTGCAATGTTTAATGCTAACCATATTGATCTAACTACCACAGAAGGGCGACTTAGGACTCACTCTGCAAGAACTGGTGAGGAATCATGCTCCTGTCGATGCCAAGTAAAATCCTGAGTCGCATCATCCTGGAGAGATTAAAGAACGCACTGGAGACAGAACTCCGACCAGAACAAGCTGGATTCAGGAAAGTCAGGCAAATCATGTAGTGACCAAATTGCAACTCTACGCATCATCATCACAGAACAAAGCATGGAATGGTGATCAAACCTCCACCTCAGCTTTATAAACTTTGAGAAGGCCTTCGACAGCGTTGATGGTGAAGTAATTTGGAAATTACTTGAGTACTATGGCGTACCCCAAATATTCATCAACCTTATTCAACAGCTGTACGACAACGGCGGCACATGTCAACTGATCCACAACGGAAAACTCAGCGAGGCGTTTGGAGTAAACACAGGAGTCAGACAAGGGTGCTTATTATCTATCACCAATGATATTCCTAATTGTGGTGAACTGACTGGATTATGCGTCAGACAGTGAGTGGGAAACGAGAAGACAAACAGGGATATCCTGGACCGACCGACGTGAAGAACCTAGAAGACCTGGATTTCGCGCGTGGATGATTTATGTTTGATGTCACACAAAATCGAAGACTTACAAGCAAAAACTGACAGACTGGTTGGAGAAGCAGCCAGTGAAGACAGGACTCCAGGTAAACATAGACAAGACGGAGGTTATGAAAATAACCAACCAACCAACAACGGCAGCAACATCCAGCGTCAATCACCATCAACGGGAGGGATTTGAAAGAGGTTACTTCATTCACTTATCTAAGGAGCATTGTCTCAACTACAGGCACTCGGGACGGACGAGGATGTAAAATTGAGCGAGAATCAGGAAGGCGAGAAACACATTGATTAATCAATCTGAAACCAATCTGGAAATCTTCGTCACTCAGCCAGCATCAACAACAAAATTCGGTCGGATTTTCAATACAAACGTAAAGTTAGTTCTTCTGTACGGATCAGAAAGTTGGAGGGTCACAAAGAATATTTACAAAAGGTTGCAGACCTTTATTAACAACTGTCTTCGCTCTATACTGAAGATCAGATGGCCGGAAATAATCACCAACGAGAAGAAACTCTGGGAACAAAGAAACGAAACAAGAAGTAATCGCCAACCAACAAATATGCAGTTGGAGAAAGTAGGGAGGGATGGATTGGACACTCGCTGAGGAGACCGCTGGTTGACGTCGCGCGTCAGGCCGAAAGGGAAGCGGAGTGTGGGACGTCAGTGCAAGGGTGACATGGAGGAGATTGTGTGAAGAGGAGTTGAAAGAGTATGGACTTACATGGATGCAGGTGAAAAGTACAGCAGAAGGAAGACAGAAGTGCAAGCGGAGACGTGCAGCTGAATCCCTATGTTCCACTAGGAACCCAAGGGAGCAATAATAATTATATTAGTCTAAGCATGGAATATATGATATTTTCGATGAAGATATAGAGCTTTGTTCAAACATTGGTGTTGTTGTGTTTTTAATCAAAGCTACCAAACTTTGGACAAGAGAGCAACAAATATGAACAAAGAGCAAGTTTTAGCGTTAGCTTTAACAAAGGCCTAGGTAGTTAAGATGAAATAGAGTATAATAGTGCGTAAATAAAAAGATAATTGTGAGGTAGGTAAGTGATATATTTAAGTGAGAAATGAATTCGAACGACTCGAAAATTGGAAGTTGACCTGTAAGATGCCGCATGCATTTCTGTAGGGCCCAATGGGTAGCATCTTGACAAGAAGCTGAACAGGCTTGTAGATGGTAGGAGCAAAAGCACTTTTTTATTTATCATTTAGATCTGTACAACCCTTATTATTATTATTATTATTATTATTTTGTTAATTTGTATTTCCTGTTATGTTGGACTGCTACACTCGGTATCTATTCAAAATATCGATTGACTCCTTGGAGCAATCCTTAGATGATGTGTGGAGATTAACATGATCTCACTTTGTATTTGTGGCTTGACTAACAGTGAAATCTAAGGTTTCATCATCTGGATGCGCTTGTATCCCAAATAGGCGACATCATTCATCCAACTGATGAGTGATGGATAGGACGCAAAACAAGCATCCTTGATACAATAAGCCATATTCACAGCATTCTGTCTAATTTCTTGGTCATAGGTTTGATCGTGCGCTGACATATTAGTTAGAAAAGCATTGGAAAATCACCAGAGTGTAATTGACAACTGTTTCGTCCTAGTGCTTGGAACTGACTCTTCATCCGCACTATGCACATACCTCCATTCGAACTCAAGGGCATCTGGTTGCATGGTAAGCGCCTAGACCGTTCAACTACTTGGAGCCGATTTAATAGCCATTCCATGAATTTCAACGTCTACTAATTCGTGAGTTTTATGCAACAATTAGCCAATTTCATTTTCAGAGAGCATTTGTCCTCAAACACATTGACTCATTAGAACTCCAGGCTACCGCGTGTATAGAGTAGGTCACTAGTGAGCATACGATTAGTTTCCATCTGTTAGTTAAAGTTAGCAGTTGGAATTCCTGGGATATTGGATCAAGTCCCAATAGAAATAATAATAATGATTTACTTTATTCCAAAAACAGTACTTGTGATACAGAATGGAATTTTCAGCATTAATCACAATATTCCATCTAATTCCCTCAAATTATAAATAAAACTTAATCACACAGAAAATTTTCCACATTTACAATAGTGGTGGGTAATGTGAAAAACATGCAGCATATAAAATGGAAATAATAATAATAATGATAACAGCTAAGGTAAGGTAATAATAATAATACAAGTGAAAATTACTGTGGGCTTGTTTCACACAGTATTGTCGTTGCGGTATAGAAATCCCAGCATGTTCAAAAATATTGAATATAATGTTCTCTTTACATGATATAGTGAGGGGAAAAACAAAGATTACAGCAGTCACAAAGATAAGTTGGTGTTTGCAATTCTGAGAGTAAAACAAACAAAGAAGCAACAGGACTAAAAATATAATAGAAATAATAAAAGTAAAACTTGAAGGTATATAAAGATGGATGGATGGATGGAGGAAATTGTTTATTTACTAGATGGAAAAAGGTTAGTTAATTGTTGCCCGACACTATTTTCATTACATAAAATACGTGCCAAGTATGGTATCATAGAATTTCTATACTTAGACGTGCGACCATACAGTTTTCTGAAGTTACGCCTTGTTCTACCTGAGGAGATGCAAGGTGAAAGCTGAGTGTAAAGTGGATGCTCCAAGTCAGATAAAATCCCTTTAGCAAATTTATTGCACGAAGTCAAGTGCCTGTCGGCAACGACGTTAACTATGTGGTCCACTGGGACACCACTCATCCTACTGACAATCTTCAGTATTCTACGAATTGTGACATAGTCCTTTTTAAGCAAACCAGGAAAGAATAAGGGTGAACAATAAAGAAGAATAGGTAGGATGCAAGAGTTTATGAACTGTAAGAGGAGGAGGGGTTGACTTATACCCGAGTGGCTTAACTTCTCAATGTAAAATGTCAGGAGAAATATTTTACTGGAGATTGCTAAGACATGGGAAGACCAGGAGAGATCAGAAGAGGGAATAAGTCCAAGATACTTACTTTCTGATTTGATTCCTATATCATTGTCATCAATCTTACAACTGTCATGAGAATCAACGACTTCTTTTAACTGTCTTTTACATCTTAAGCTGAAATTAACCTGTTTGACATTTAGAAGGATTCAGTTTAAGACCGTTAGACTCAGACCATTTACTGACTCCTGATAGTAAATGTCTGGATGGTCCACAAGTACGTCCTGTAACCAGAAGATCCTGGGTTCAAACCCCGATAGATGCCTACCACTGCTGCTACTGAAGAGTCACAATCACTACGAAGCAACAATGGTGCAGTACTCCTCATATATCTGCTCACAACCGATGAAAACCTTTACGGAACCAATACTTGACCACTGTATTTTTTTTGTATTGTCATTGCTATTGCCAAAGTAAAAAATCAATAGTGTGTATTAAGCAAGCAAGCAAGCAGAAATTATACTGCTCAAATTGATATGTGCATAGGGTGTGTGTACAGAAGAAAGTAGTCATAGTTACTACTATGTCTCCACCACTCTCCCTTAATTTGTTTTCTTGTCAACCTATCTATCCATAGAAACTTCACGTTCACGGATTAACAAAAAAAGTTTATTGCTATGACAACATGCATGTAAGACTTTATTTTGCATGCTGTGTACACATTTTTTTTCTGTTTACTAGTTGCTTACATTGTTTTTTTTTAAATGTTTGCATAAAAAATTACATATATTTTCTATAGGTTGCTGACAAATCCTTTATCAGTAGTATGTGGAGTTGGAAATAAAATTCCGAAGTTCAGATAACTTTAATCTTTGGCTGGCTGTCTGTTCGCCGATAACTTCTCATGCTCTTCGTCACGAAATCTCCT